CTTTCTCCACCTTGACCAGCAGAAGTTTCCCCAGAGACAAATTGGTGTTCATGGTGTAATTCCCTGTCTGGAAATAAACATTAATATGAATTTAAAACAAACAAATACATTATAATACAGTTGAACATGCATGTTAGAGTGTTGTCAATACACATTTAACTAATAATATTTAATTTGCACTACCCCTCTGGAACACCTTCCCCATCCGTGAGGCTCCCTCCCTATCATTCAAACAAGCCCTCAAAACCCATCTCTTCAAACTCGCCTTCACCTGCTAACCCCTGCACCCTACCCTTCACTACATGACCCATTCCGCACAGCTTCTCCAGTTTTCTTTTTTACCAAAATGTTCTGTTTGTCTCTGCCCTATGTAAAGCGTCTTTGGGTATTTTGAAAAGCGCTATATAGAATTAAAGTATTATTATTAATATAACATGGTATACATAAGTGTCTAAGGAGTACAAATGTCCACACAGACCGGACAGTCTTCTTAAATAGTTATTTTGATATTAAAACATTTAGAAACCTTGATCATCATCTTCTAAGTACATGATGATAGACAACCATGCCAACTGGCTAGTAAAAGCCCTTTATAGAACAAATCCTGTCTGGTAATATTTCAAATTCCAGCTTTTGAAAGCAATGAGTTAGACTCTGACAACTGAATTTAAATGTATTATGCGACTGTAGCACCACAAAGATGAAATGCCATAGATTGTGTTTTTAGTGTGGGACTTTGAATGTAAGGCTGTGAAGATCAACCAAAAATGTATTGTGTGTGGATGTGCGGTAGTCTTTGGAACATCACAGAATGTCAAAGTCAATGCTGTTCTCTGTAGGAATGGCAGAGTGTACAGGTCCAGAGAGAAGCAATGGTTGGCTAAAGTTTAGTTTATACTCCCCATAGTACAGCCGGTGCAACGTGTTCCAGAAAAAGATGTAGTCACGGCATGCGTGTCACGTGGGAAGGCCCCGCAAGTGTCCACCGTGACTGTTCCAGAAGATTTTTTCAGATGTGATAATGACTAATAGCACCACGGCCATTTCTGAGGATTTTACAAAGAATATATATGCTTTAGGTCAGAGGTACTGCAGGGGGTCCGTGAAATTCTTTGGTTGATTAGACAATGTAAAAAAAAAAAAAAAAAAAAAAAAAGGAATTTTTTTTTTTCCTCTAAACATGAATCTGTCCATTATTTTAATAGTTCAGTATTGTATGAAAGATAACGGGTATGTTTTTGCATGGCAGTGGCACCAATAGGCCATCACTCATTTTTCATTTCCACATTTATGTTTAAAATAAAAACATCAATTTGAATATCTTGTATGCATGATTATCATGCAATTGACAGACAATGTTGATATTGGCATTAGTTGACAAGGTGTGTTTATAAATGGCAGTGACACGGCCACCCTACTCACTGTACCTTGCACGTTTAAAATAAAAACATGAATATATGAACCCGTGTATTATTTGAATGCACAATAAAGAGATATACACTGTACTAGGCCCATTTAATATAAAACACAATTTTATACTATATACACATATATATATATACACATTATTTGGAGGGTGTTCAACCCTAGTTTATGGCATTGAGTGAGTAAATGTACTTAGTTACATTCCACTAATGTTAACAAATTTCTTTATTTACCATTTTTCCAACTCTAGTTAATAAATGTGATAGTTGAGAAGTATACCATTTGTACTCAATATAATTCTAATTACTAAAAACTAATATTTTTTTTACATCACAATTGACCCTTCACTAAGCCCCTTCCTAGAGCGGCCACTGTCCAATCCTTCGTTAGCAACAGTAACAAATAGCAGGAGGCCTCTCACGCTTACAGTGGTGTGTATGGAACCTGCATGTCCGACAGCAGATAGTTGTATATTTCACCTTTCCGAAGCCAAAAACTCAAGAGGAGCGATGTCGGACATGGATTAAACTGTGTGAAAGACCTCACTCACAGCTGAATCTATCCAAGATCAACACAAACTACTTTGTTTAATCCAAAGTTTAATGCTAATACCTTACACAAACAAAGATTTGTGTATGTTAGAACCAAGATACAGACTCCTACAATGGCTTAGTTAATAAAGAAAAGGCCTCTATATATTAAATTCAAAAAGCACATGAAGGAAACAACTGAAAATAGACAAACTAATACAATATATTACAGTCTAGCACATATGTTGATGTAGGCAAGCATCTAAAGAGAACATATGTCCACCAAGACTGGACAGCCTTTTAAAATTGTTATTTTAATGTTAAAAATGTTTCCGATCTGGTGGCACCAACGGAAATCATTAAGAATAACTATATATAAATAGTCAATTTTCTCACTGATGGTCTCATTTACTTATGTAGGTCATATAGAGACATCAGTATTAAATTGAGACGTTTGCATAACCAGTAAAATAATCCTCACAGTAACTTAAAGTGTATTAATTACATAAAGGTAAACATTTCTTGAATTAGTCATGAAGAGAAATACTACCCCAGCATATATGTATGCACAAACAAAAATCATTACTTTGTCCCAGACCTAATTTGAGGATGTTCAACAGGATTCAACTTACTGTCCCAGTTGTAAAGTCGATGCCAAAGTTGTCCAACTCAGTTCGCTCACTCTGCCCTTCAGTTCCAAATAAGGTGATGAATATGTGGTCCCATGTTCCTGCATTTTGCCTGTCACCTGTTGTGACCTCTAGCTTGTACTCAGTCATGGTCAGTCTGTGGAAACTGTCTAGAAAAAGAAACACATTTAGATCTCTAAATTGCAGAGTGAATGCTCCAATTATCTGCAAAAATACATTGACACTGTATATGCATGTTTTTGCTACTGTTTTCACAAAACTTTTAAAATTTATTTACCAAAAGCTTTCGATAGTTTTTCTAAACACATTTTTTTCATCAAGAGGAATAAAAAAAGCTTGTCAACACTTAACTTTGTCTCGGATTATCCTGTTTACATTACTACAAGTATTTAGATAATCTACTGCCATACCATGAGGATGGTATGGCAGTTCCTGCCATACCATCCTCATGGTCTGTGTTCCTGCTTGCTGGGTTTCTTGAGGAGTATAAGGGTTTCTTGAGGAGTATAAGTACTGAATGGAGGGCAGGCTTGTCACGATTAGGCTTTGCCTCCTGTGTCTCTGCGTGTGTGAGTGCTTTGGGCGTGGCTCCGCCCTGGTCTCCTCCCGGCTCCCTCCTGATTACATTCATTCACCTCACCTGCCCAGTCAACCCAGCTGCTTTCCATCTACTCATCACCCAACAGTAAATCTACTCCGGTTCCACATCCACTCGTCGCCAGATCTTTGTACAACCTCAGTGGTATTTTGTTCCCTCTCGGACACTCTGTTAAGATACTATTTCAGAGTTTATCCATGTGTTTTCACCTTGTCTTCCTGTGCCTACAGTTTGGATCACCCTCCTGGTTCCCCAGTCTGCCTGCTCTGCCTCGTCTGCCTGGTTTCCACCTGTTTGGTGGCTCATCCAAACCAGAACCGACTGGATTATTGCGTTGTAGAACTGGATCAGCAGCTGCTTAGGCAGGTTGAAAATTAGAATATTACATAAGACCAATTAAAAAAAGACTTATAATACAGAAATGTTGGCCTACTGAAATGTACAGTACTTTGTACAAGCAAATTACACCCTCTGGTCTATAAAGATAGCACAGACAAAACTAAATAAGAACATCGCGCCGAGTTACGCAACATTTACACAATCCTCATCCATGCCTGAAACACTATACATCAAAATAACTGTTTACCTTATTCAACGGATGAATCTTTGGGAGATTGCGAAGTGTCGCCATTGTAAAAACTTCTGCCAGTAGATGAGTGTTCTGCAAATGACTGATCAATTGGTGATAGAGGGCATCTACATTCCTCACATATATCTTGGCCAGCAGCCAGTCAGTCTCCAGATCGGTCGGCAGAAAAATCGGGGTCTCCTCTGAGGGCTGCTGACCGAGCTGAGGGAGGAGGCATATTTAATTTTGCAGAAGGTGATCCAAAACAAAGATGTGAGAACTATTTCACTAAATATAAGACAAACCTGAATTGCAATGGGCCGGAGTTTCTTCTCTGGATTTAGGTACAGCAGGTAGAGAGCAGCAGTCACAGCTACCGGTTTACCGTCAATAACTCTTGTAGGCAGACCTTCCATGATCTTGTAATCAGTAATGAATATATTGCCCTTCTGTAGAATATTAAAAAATAAAAAAACACTAATGTGAAGCATCATAAACAAGTGAGTTGTACGGTGAAACAATGTTTATCACATCTAAAAATCACAAGAAATGCACTTTTTGTACCGTTATCTCGGCAGTCAAAGAGCTTCCATTGGCCAGAAAAGGTTTCACCATTTCCTCAGTTACAGGGAAGTTGGAGGGCATCTTTAAGCAACGTTGGATCACATAGGGGTTGACTCCATTAAGCAACTGGTAACCAAAAAAATCATCATCCTTCCAGTGCTCCGACATATACTCTGTAACAAACAATAGATAATTTATTATGTCTCAGAGATGTTGTAGAGAGAAGTACAACTAAAACCTGCTATACTGAGATCTTACCTGAGAGGGGTGACTTTTTGAACCACGAGACCATCTTCATTTCTTCAAAGCTTTCAAACTGCTCAGTAGAATTTTTCAGACCCTTCAGTTCAAGATCAGCTGATCTGATTAAGCACAAAAAAAGTATATCACTTTTGTTTTTTGCTCTAGTTATTTATGTTGGATTGTCCAGCATTGGGATTTTGGATAATCATAATGGGTGATTGAGAGCACTTACGTTGCTTCGTTTCTGTATCTAAATTCAAAGGCTTTTGAGAATGAGAAGCCGATTTCTGCAGGAAGAGCTTTTGGATCACTTATGTTCAAGGTGTACGACAATCCTTCTATGTATTCATCCCATCTGTGGAGGACAACGGGAAATAAACGCATCCAAAAGATTTAAATCCAAGTCAAAGTTCATAGAGGTTCAAGTTTTCAAATATGCCTGCATGCTGCATGCTTCCTGTAGTCACTTCCAGCGTGTACTCTGCCATTATGCCTGGCTAGCTACAACAACTGAGACATGCAATAGGAAAATAAACATACTGAGTACATGCAGTAAATGTTTACTCCCCCCCCCAAAAAAAAAAAACTGTCAAATATGATCGCATCAAACATAATAAAGTTTCTATTCTTGGTAAAA